ACGGGTCTCACGGTTCCCGTGGAAGGGTTTACGCTGGAACAATTGTTCCGAAATGATATATACTACTGTCACGATGACACGGAATCCACCAGGGACACCTTTGAGCTGCTCATACTCTCGGGAGATGAGACAGATCTTCAGTTTGTGTCCAACATGGAAGTGCACATAAAACTGGTCAACGATAATGAACCCTATCGCACTGCCGTAGAGCGAGTTTTCCATGTGGTGAGGAATGGCATAAGGACCCTCAATCCCACAGTGCTGCAGTATCTGGATGCGGATGTCAATACCAACCACTCAGATATCCACTACATCCATGTGTCCAGCACGAATGGTGCTTTCTACAAGAGTGGTCACTACGTGGACAGCTTCACGCAGGATGACATAGCGAACAGGAGGATTATGTTCCAGCACACGGGTGCCGACTCTGGAACGGCTTCCTTCATAGTCACCGATCGGGAGTATGAGGTCAATGGTTTGCTGGAGATCCGTGCCTCCGATCCCTTCGTCTCCATGCTGGCCACTAATGCCTCCATTGTTCAGGAGGGCAAATTTGTCGTGCTCAAGAACAAGGATTTTATTTTGGAAACCAATTTGGACATGAAACTGGATGAGATATACTACGAAGTTATTAAGCCCCCCTCGTATGGCATTCTCATGTACTTGAGTAGGGCCAATGAGGGCGAGAATGGAACTACCATCTATAAGGCCACTAACTATACTTCCCTGAGCAATTTTACTCACTTGGATATTGAACGTGAGAGGCTGGTCTACTGGAATACGGAAATCGCCTCGATGGATAAAGTTAGGTATGAACTTATAGGTTAGAAATTATGGCGACTATTTTAATAACATGTTTTCTTAATTCACAGGTATCGTGTACATATTAAAAACATAACAGCCGAGGGAGAGGTCATGTTCCGGATTTATCCTTCTGCATACTGGGAGCCCCTGCAAGTGAAACAGAACCACACTCTTTATGTGGAGGAATCCACAAGTGTACTTATATCCAGAGATGTCTTAGAGGTGGGTTATTAATTACTAAACACAATAGCTTATACTTATACTCTATTTTCCCTTATCAGGTGGTTCATCCCAATATCTCGCCAGGAGACATCACCTTTTTAGTGACATCCTCACCCATGCATGGCTACCTTGAAATGCAGTCCATGTCCTTTGATGACGAATACAATTGCAAGGTGTTCGATCAGTCCTCAGTGAATACCGAAAAAATGTTCTATATACAAGCAGGAGTTAACCAATCCGTCGACTACTTTGTCTTTGATGTTACCAATGGCATCACTTGGCTAAGGCAATTGATGCTGAAGATCGTGATCATACCAGAAAAGCTGTACATGCACTCGAATATTATTTCAGTGGTGGAGGGAAAGACTGTGCAACTGAATCCTACAGATATACAGCCCTATTCGGAGTACTATCGAGGGAAGATACTGGAGTATATTGTGACTATAACACCGAATTCCGGTCACATACTGGCTGGGAATTCCAAAGTCAAGAGGTTTACCCAAAAACAACTGGAGCAGGGCAATATACAATACGTGCACAATGGCAGCGAAAATGCCACAGATACTTTTACGTTGGTGGCCATGGCCAGGAACAAGGAAAGTGTGCCCTTCGAGCTGGAATTATCTGTGGTGCCAGTAAATGATGAGGAGCCCATGATGGTCACCAATACGGGACTGCAGGTGTGGAACGGCGGACGCTATGTCATTAAAAATACTGATCTGTGTAAGTATTTAAATTGAAATACTTGTAAAGAATAAAGACTAATATATAAATATTTATTTCTTAATTTTGTTTAGTGGCTCAAGACTACGACACTCCACCGGAGAATCTCACCTTTGTTGTGCAACACATCTACGGCGGTTACTTGGCAAGGAAATCCGCACCACAACACAAAATCGAACAGTTTACCCAGGCTCAAATAAACCAGGAAGAAATATGTTTTATGCAGGACTCCAACTCCAGGAGAAACGAACTATCGTTTGTGGTTACAGATGGTTTATTTAACACCACTACTCAGACTCTTAATATTGAGATAAAGCCCATTGAAATTCTGGCCGAGCACAATGAAAACTTGCATGTCTTCCCCTTGACAAAGAAGCAAATTCTACGCGATCATCTACACTTTAAGTGTTCCGATGAGGAACGCGAAATTCGCTATAACATTACAGTTCCTCCAAGTCTGGGTCGCATAGTGAATGAATTTATTGATAATGGTTTCACCAAAGAAGTCAGCGAATTCACCCAAACCGATGTGGATAATGGTCACATATTCTATGAGCACACAGCTGTTATTATGGAGTTTAGAATCAATGATTCGTTTTACTTCGATGTGGTGGCTGAAAGAAGCGATCGCTTATTGGATCAAAAGTTCAATATAGAGATATCGGTTTCTTCTGGCGGTTTACTTAGGTTCCTACCCGTGAACAAGCTAACCGTAGATGAAGGAGGATCGGTGCCTATAAAGCTGGATTTCTCCAAGATTTTAGAGTACCTGAAAACCAAAGCGGGCATCAATAATCCAGAATTGTTCATAGAGGCCATACAAAAGCCCACACATGGCAACATAGGACTCGGTCATGAGTTCAAATACATGCAGAGATATCACCCAAGTGATTTCTTTACAAAGAAGGTCTACTACATACACGATCATTCGGATACTCTGGAGGATACCATACTAATGTCGGTTTACCTGACTCAAGAGTGAGTGCTCTGCACATTAGAGAGTTAAATAACAGATTTTTGAATATCTATTATTTTTCAGAAACATTTTCCTGTGCAACTTGACAATACCAGTGTCCATAAACCCCATCAACGATCAACCCTTCCATTTGATCACCCATTTGCCCCAAATGACTGTTGTTGAGGGTGAGAATCGTACGATAACGAGGAATGATTTGCTCACCGAAGATGCGGATACACCACCAGAGGAGATTGTGTACGATGTGATGAGTGGTCCCACTTTGGGAGTGCTGAAAAAGATCACTAGCGATGGGCGGACCGAGGATCTTTTGGCCTTCTCGAATCAATTCACCCAAGCGGATATCAACAACGATCGCATATTGTATGTGCACTTTGGCATACCGCAGTCCACGACATTTTGCTTCACTGTATCGGATGGACAATTCAATGCTGCCTACGAAATATTTACCATAAAAATAGCTTCAATCAGTTTGCAGCCGTCTGCACTGCAAATTCCTGTGAAGGTCCAACAAGGAGCTACTAGTGCTCCAATGAAACTAGATCAAATAGGAGTCTCTACGAATGTGCATATGGCTAGGTTGTCCTATAACATTACAAACTCTCCGCTTTTTGGCATTATAGTTTTCAAGCATCAGCCCACTTTGAGATTCACCCAGCAGCAGTTGGAAACTTCGCAGATTAGCTATATGCAAACGGACTTAAATCGATCGAATGACTCTTTTCAAGTTAGTGCCTATGTTCCGGGCACTAACTATGCAGCCCAAGTGGATGTAGTGATGGAGGTGGAGCCTGTAATACAAATCAATAATATAGTGATGAAGGAAGCCGATTCAGTGGGAGGTAAAATAAAGCTGATCACCTCTTTGGACAACGACAATCCTCTGTCGCTGAAGCTCAATAAATTCAATCCGAAGTTTGTGATCACGAGAATGCCAGCGACTGGGCAAGTCAGGAAGATAATTCGAAGTACTGGACTAACCACTGATGGCCAGAATGAGAGATCCACGAATATATTCTCCTACAAGGAGCTGCGCAGTGGTGTGGTCTACTTTGTGCCTCATGCTTCTGTGGAGGAAACGGAGGCGGATAGCGATAGTTTTGACTATCAACTGCTTATAAAGACAGTGCAACCTGCACAGGCAACTGTATCCATTGAATATAGGAGCAGGGTTGAGGAGACTGAGACAGTGCACTTGGGTAATGCTGGTCTATCCATCAACTATCTAGCCATAGGATGTGCCATATTTATCGTGCTGATATGCCTGCTAATCGTGCTGTTGATATTGAAAATTCGAAAGCTGAGGAAGCACAAGGCCGATATATCCAAGGATCAGCCACCGGCACTGCCCTGTCCACCGGATTTGACATCCGTGAGTCCGCAGCACCATTTGCACCATCATCATAGTCATCATTATGCCAGTTCCGAGGCGGATTCCGTGCCTGCAACTGGAAATTCTACGCCCCTGCCCGGTTTCAGTAATATTCCCCATTGCAAGATCATACCCGTGGAGTCGTACAAGCACGAGTTTCCCGACTACGATCCCGATGAGGAGGAGACGGACGATCAGTGTGATCCGCAGCAGATGATGCTGCCACAGAGATACAATCCCTATCATCTGGAACACGATGCCTGGAGTTCGTCCTGCGACATGGCCAACGATTTTGCCGGCTATGCCTCTGTGCCGCAAAGTATTTCCGGATCGGTTAGCTCACCGCCCTCGGCCCCGCCCACAAATCCACTGCTCAGGCGGAATCAGTATTGGGTGTGAGTTGTCTAGCCGGAAAAAAACTCAAATCGAAAGGGATCAATATATCGAGAGCGGGAGAATTGTTTAGAATTGTATCGCAATTAGTCCTAGGTTATTTATTTAAGTTTAAGCTTACGTTTAAGGCTGATTTATGAGATTCGTTAGGAAAAGAGGAGCATTTTATACACAAACAAATTCATTATAGCATGTAAACAGACATGCATACATACATATCTGGCGTGTCATATACAAACGATTAGCAGTAAGGACGAAAACAAGAGTTATACTCAAAAAGCCAACTTAACTTAGCCTTAGCATTGTGTTTGCCAACGTGGACAACTTTTTACAATAAATGACAATAATTTTAAGCAATTTTCGTTGTTTTATTTAAAAATTTTTAGTTTTTGTGGAACTTTCGAAGTTAATCAGACTGCTACCGTGGCGAGCGCATTCAATTTGAATCATAAATTGTGGTTTACAACCAAAACAAATTGTTTTGCGTGAAATTCAAGATAAAACCTTTAATGAAGGAAAAATTAATTTCTTTATTTCTATATGGATAATTTTAAACGTGGTTGTATTTAAAAAAAATATATATATTTTATATTTTTAAACATTTTGCCAAAATCAATTGATCAATATACAAATTTAACTTATATAACTAATATATATTTCTTAAGAGTTATAAGATCTAATATTGTGATTTTTTAGTTACAGTTTGTACATAGTTGGGTTGTTGTTAAGGAAAATGTTTGGACAAGTTTAAGGTAAAAATTGGCAACATAAGTAAGTTCTGCGACCACGGAATCTTGGTGTTTTTTTTTTAAGTGCCCGCACAATTCAGAGTTAATTTTACTCATTCCTTTTTACGTCGGTGCTGATAAGACCAAGCAAACCAACAAAATCTCATTCATAAACGCGGGTGATTAACAAAAAAACCATTTTAGTCCATTTGGTAAAGTGGGCATGTCTGGGGACTTTTAACATTTTCAAAAGGGCTCTGGCTATTTTCATTAAATAAGAAGTGCATTCTATACAGTTAGTTTTATGGTAGATAAGTATTTTAGGCCGCAATGGGTTTCTTACTGAGAACACAAGTAAATATATAATTATAAATATATACAACATATAAATTAAGCTTTGTGTATTAAACATATAAAAAGAAGACTTCTTGCCTAACAGTTAACCAAAGTATCACTAGTTTGAATGTGATGCACAGTTTGCTTTCGCTGGACGTTTCATTTGAGTTCAAGAGTTTGTTTTTAAGTATATGGCTTTAGAAAGCGGCCGCAACCGTGGCTGTTGAGGGTTTCTCGGTAACCGGCGTGACGACCATAGCCTGATTATCGTATCCATATCCGATCTCCGTCATAACCGTGGTGGGCGTAGTGCTATTTTCCGCCGGATAGCGAGTGCTCACCGGCGTCGTCATTGTCACAACGGAACCCTCGGCGACACCTGCAATAAATCATGGGTATTAATTTAATGTGTACTATTTGCAGAAAACCGAACAGGTAGATCCTTACACTTACCTGCCACACTATAGATGTGCGATTGCGCCCGCTCAAGGTCGCTGCCGTGCCGATTGATGGCATTCAGGTTCTGTATGGTGGTGGCATTGAGGTCTTTTCCATTTGCAGTCGCCGGATGAGGATAGGCCTTGGATTGCAGGCGACGCAACAATTTCTGGAAGCATCGGTTACCTATCAGCCATCGGAGGCATTGATACGCACAGCGAAGGGCGATCAGAACGAGTAGGACGGTCACCAGCAGAAGGATAAGATGCTGTGTTTTCTGGATTTCAAGGACCTCCGCCTTCAGAGGCTCAAAAGTCAAAAAACCTGTAGAGTGGGAAAATAAATTAGTAATCAATTTAATTTGTAACATAAGCAATCTAAAGAAATTAAAAGAACTATGAACAATATCATAAATCTGCCTAAAAGCTGGGAACTAAAGTTCTGAAAAACTAAGAAAGAGAAAACATTTAGGATCTGTTAACAAAGCAAAGTTGTCATTTTAATGTACTTTACATCTTAAATTTTTGTTTTATTTGTGCGGTTTTTATATTTTTAAATCCCATTTAAAACAAAAACCCAAAAAAATTAAGATTTCATCTTGGATTGCATTTTAGCTAACGCACACTTCTAATTTAATGCAAATGCAATTTCGCTGCATGAGCGTTAGCTGTAAATATTTGCTAACCCTATCTTTAAAGATATAGTCTTGATGCTATCTGCTTTGATAAGGTGATATACTCTTAGGGATCTTGCTGAGCAACATTTATTAAAAAAATATATTTCGCTAAATGCCTTACTGTAGGACTGCAAAACAAAATGCAGTGCTAATTCTAACAAATCAATTTAAATATGTACTGTATATCTTGTAAATACTTAGTATCTTTTTAGCAACTCATTGGAGATGAGTTAATCAGCAATCAAATCCGATAGGAAAAACCTGAATTAACATAAAACTTCCCAAATTACACTACGGTTCATGAGAAGATCTGAGGTAATCGTTTAGAAATCGATGGGTTATACATGCCTGAGCAATCCCTAGCGCACAGGCTGACATCGTAGTTGTGGGTTGTGTTATCGCAGATCGTACTGCATAGTTGGCAGACCTCCGAGGCTTTAGAGCAATATTCAGTCACCGGATGGCAGATTTTTCCACCGCAGGGCATAGTGGCTTCATCTGCCGCTGATACCAAGGAAAAACTTGGTATCAAACTTGGAAGTCCGCCAATGGAGACCGAAACGGCGCGCAATTTTCTGACCGTCATTGGAGGTTTTTATTGTTATAACTATATTTATTCACTAGTATTTAGGTGTTTTCCGTGTAATTTCCGCTCTAGCTGATTGCAGTTTACATAAGCACTGGTACAACTTATTTCCTCCTCGGAAGGTTTGTGTTATTTTTAAACGTATTCGAAATATGATTCATACACCAATAACGCGGCCCAGACGACAACTGGCTAACTTCTCTTTTAATTGTTGGCTTTTGGAGTCTGAGTATTTGTTATTGCCCCTACACTTATGCATATACACATGTGTATTGGTGCAAACGAGTTTATCTTGGCCAAGTTTTACAGCATTTTTCCTAAGATTCCTTGGTGTTTTGACACATTTTCTCACATTTATTTTATAAATTTCGGGACACTAAGTTCTTCATAATATTTATGTGTTTTTTACACCAAACAAGTGTGATTTTTCTCCGATTTTAAATTATAGACGTCGCTGGCTGGCAATTATCGAAGCGTTTTGAGCCACATTCAACTCGTTACTGACTGAAATGCCTCGATCGCTCGCTGTTACCAACCACTCAGCACTCACACACTGCCACTGGGCTCAAATACACTCTCATCCACTTCGTGACTTGACTTTTGTTTACCTTTTTTCACGTCGATTGTAGATGCGAAAGTATCTGTATATCTATGCTGCGGCAGGTAAGCCAAGTGTTTGCCTATCGGCTGTTGATTCTCTGTTTTGAGTGAAATATTTCCCGACTTCGGAATACTTTGAACCCGGCTTCAGTTGCTTCAATTTCAACAGCATTTGGACTAATGAAATTAAAGATCAAGCAGAAGTTTCTGAGGGGGCGCAATCCAAATAAACACTGTATTACGTTTCACACACTCAGCTGGAGATGATTTTTGTCGTTGCAGATTATAGTAGTAAAAAAACTATGAATTCAAATTTTACTCAGTCATACTATAAGTCATAGCGCATAAAACTAGAACTAAATTGCGAAAAATAGTGATAAAGCACTAAACTATAACTAAAAATTAAGATACGCAGAAAAGAAATGCGGAAGTCGACCTTCGTCCACTATTTGTATGTAGTTGAAATTTTCATGTTATTATTTATTTTAACTAAGTCCTAAAATAAATGTAATGAACTTATGTTTTATATATCTAAGAAAAATACAATTGATTATTTTATATTATTTCTAGTATTACATTAAATAAATAAATATCATTTATTTGAAATAGACATATTTTTCAGTGTCTATTTCTAATGGGGTTGAAACCTTGCTAAAACAATGTTTGGGTGTGTGTCTTTGATAAAGAGACAAATGTATGGCAACACTTAATGAATTCTTAAATATTACGTTAGTTGCAAAAATAAACTTCTTAAATTTAAAATCATATAACCAATTTGTAAAACACGTCTATAAAGAATTATTTAATTAAGCACAGTAGTAGTAGTAGTAGTATGTAGGTTTATATTTTTCTTTAAAACTTGGCAGCACTTTTCCCTCTCATCGTTTGCAGCCCTTCCAAGCGCTCTCTCCCGCTCTCCTTTCGTTCATTTCCTCTCTCCTGCCGCTCTGATGCTATGCTCACTTTCATTGCAGTGCCTTGCCGCTTTTGAGATACTTTTGTATCTCTGTATCTTCCAGTGCCAGTGTCAGCGCCGCTTGCAGTTTTATGTTATTGTGGCTTCCAGTTCGCTGGACTGGATGGCCAAGTCAAACATCCATTCCATTCGCTAAGCGGCTTTCGCTGTTGAATGAGCTGTTTGGCTAGTTTTCGTGGAACGGCCGCCGGTTCGTTTCGTAGCGTATCTTCGAGATACAAACACTAAATCGAATCGAATGAATATTGCAGCTGTCGTTGCGCGCGTGTTGTCGATGGAAATTGTGGAATTATAACAATTACATCTCGTGTGGAAGTGTGAAAGTGAAATAGTCGAGCCAAGAGCGACGCAATTAGATGAAAATACACTCACGCTCTGTATCCGTATCTTCGTATCTTTTGTGCGAGCGCGCTTCAACAAGTAAACCGAAATTAAAAAACTCACTGGAGTGGAAGACTCGTCCTTGAGCTCCCCACTTAAACCCACCTGTTTTAGAACGAGATACATATTCAAGTGCGATTTGAGCCACCGAAAAAGACAGCCAGCGTCAGTTAGAAAGAGAGGGCAAGCGAGCGGTGAAAGAGATGAATAATTTCACAACCACAACAGCAGCCCCACCACCAAAGGAAGCGCTGCCCCGATCAGGACATGTTAATGAGGGTAAGCATGGGTTAAGAACCGAACCGAACCGAACCCAACCGAACCAAACAAAACCATTTCGAAATTGGTTGAACATGAACAATTTTGTACGGGGCCTTGGATAATTGGAAATTGATTGGGTTTGAGTGGTACTATCGAGATGAGTGGTCAGGGGCAGGGGCAGGGGCAGAGGCACCACATTAATTTAAGGCCTTTAGAATTCCTGTTCGACGGTTTGTACCCTCTTTTTTTTAACTCCCCTGGGATTTCTTCAACAAAATTTCCTCTACCAAGATCCTATGTATTTTTGAGCAACCTTTTTTTTGCAAAAAAGTTCTTTTAAAAAAGTTAGATTCCTTTAATTGCCTTAAGAATTTATAATTTTGCATTTTCTATACCCCACATTCATTCAACCTATCCGATATCTTTGAATGCCGACATCACCCAAAACAAACATTGAAGTTCCCAGAACTTCTTGAGCGTCGTATGTGCCTTGGGTTTCGAAATGTAAGCTATTTTTCTGTTGATTCAGTTGTAAACAAACGCCGAAGAGCACGTTTCCTTCTTATCGCTTATGACTTGACCTTATATAATAATCATAACATTTGCATAAGGAAATGTTACAACATGAAAAGCCCATTCAAAACATTGAATAAGCTCAATTAATTGAAATCCGAATACGAAATGCTCGATGACAGAGAAATGGCTGTTGTGCAAATCGCCTGGGACTCTACAAAGTATTTGTTGTTATGCTAATGAAAAAGATTGCCCAAATACAGAAAAAATAATACACAGAAGACACGAGCTGAAAAACTTTCTCGACGCTCAGTCACAATCGCAAGAAGTTGGCGAGCTCCCTATTTTTTTGTTTATTTTTTGGGAGGGCTTGAAAGTCTTTCTGAGACGATAAACAAAAACAAAGACCGCCAGTCAGCAGCTGAGGCAACCGCACAGTACAGCAGACCAACGACCGAAAAGCGGACAAAGCTGTGAAGAAGAAATTTCAGTTGAAAAATAAACAAACACCAAGCTCTTATATAGTTTTCTTTTAGAGCAATCGAGGGGAAGCCGGCGATCTCCGCTACAGAAAGGGAAAATATACACTGTATTTTTTCTTTTTGGAGGTGCAAAAAATGATTGCCGCCAGCACTTTCCATTTAATGGTTACACTTTGAAAAATCATATTAAAAATCACTTCTTTACTGGCAAAACTGGATTTTGGAAGATTGTTTTCTGTCAAAATATTAAAATATTCACTAACTAGTATATAATTATAAAAAATTATATTTTTTGGGCTCAGTAAGGTGTTATTTTTTTATATAAATAATATTTTATCTGGCATAAGACGTATTAATATAAAAAAACTTGTTTTACTTAAAGTGAAAAGTATCCATAGTTTTTAGAACGATAGAACTTTTTGTTTTCTTTTAAATGATTTCTGAGTAAGATATATACACCCAAAAAATAAAAATAAAAAACAAATAAAATAATATACTTTTGATACTTTTTATTTATTATCATGAGTATTTATGATAAGTATTAAGTATTTATGAGTATTAATTTAATACTCATCTTACTGACAAATTTTTTTCTCTCCAGTGCTGGTATGCAAAAAAGCTGGTTCCGAGCATTTGTATCTTAAAGATAGAGCGCGTGCAGCAGGCAACAGCTGACGGTTAGCCGAGGGGATTGCAGCCGCTTCATTTGCGCCCAAGCACGCATGACAAAAGACCCCCACAAAGAGTCGGCCCTCGGTTTGAAATAGCCGTGCCTCCAACTGAAACTCACTCAACTGCTGGCCTCTTTTTTTTTTTTGCCAGCCTGACTGACTGACTGACAAGTATAGGGGTTAGGGCAGGAAGGGGGTTTCGGGGGCTCTGCAGCCCCAGCAGCAACAGAGAAACAGCAGCAGTTGCATGACGAGCCGCCTGAATGCAGTTTATTTCTTTCCTTGCATTTTTTTTTCGCTGCATGCCAGGAATGATTCACTTGCCACGCTGACAGGATGTGCGAGTGCCAGGAAAGAGATCTCCTCCATTTGGATTTGGCTCTTAACATTTCTATGGGGGATAGCACTTAAAGGAAACTCAGACCTCACTCTTCTCCGCCCCTTGTAGGACCGCTTTGTGTTGACTTGCGATGGCCTATAAAACAACTTTTCAAGAAGCCCAAATAATGGATTTCTTAAGGAGTTGGGCCACGCACCTCAAGTGCTGGTGTTTACAAATGAAAGTCTAAATCAACTGCATTAAATTGCACTAGTTTTTAGAACACAAAATTAGGTAAAGTAAAGAGAACTACAGGTTTTTTGCCACTCGACTTAATGGCACTTCACAAGTAATGAGGGGTATGATTTGAAAAAAAATGTCCATTTAAGACCACCGATTAAAAAAATTGTTAGATAAAATACAATTTATTTACTACCACTTTCTGAAATTGTGAGTCATAATTCTTGAAACTAGAAAGAAAGAAATAGTAAATATTTAAACAGACTCGCGAAAAGAAACAAATATTGATATATAAGAGCCCAAACGAACCATTTTCAACATGACTAATAGGCAAACTTTGATCCATTATTTGCAATTACCAGTCAGCCTAATAAGCCTTTTTCCTCTTTCAAAAACAGAGAAAGTTTGCCTGGCTAAATTCATAAATATCGTAGCATGAAACAGAAATTAAGCAAATTTTTGTGCTTCGCTTTGTTGCCACAACACTCGAGTAGACAATTATTGGCCTTTCTGCTTTGGATATGCATAACTTTGTTTATGACTACCTGCCTGAGAGGCCATTCAATCAATCAACGGAAACCGAAACTGAACCCGTACTGTGAGTTCATTTGAATGAAATAAATTCAAAATGTGGCAGATGCAGCCTGGCTAAGGTCAATGTAAGGCTGGCTAAATATACTGATGCCGCGGCGAGTGTGTATCCGTATCTGTATCTGTATCTGTCAGATGCAACATTCAAATAGTCAACATTGCAGGCCGCATTTCTCGTCCAGTGGCAGTGGCATGTTCAACAACCTTGAGTCAGGTTTTTCCACTTTCGGCGCCGACGAAGACGACTGCTGCAGTTGCAGTCGTCAAGCGTCAACAACATTTTTTCCCGCCGCACACACATATTTTCCTGGATTTTGTTGGGGGCTCTCTCATAAATTTTCCCGTCAAACTGCTTTCTAATTTTGGCTTTCCACACTTGTTTATAGTTTTTTTTTATGCATATATGCACGGCTTTATATATTCATTACCATCTCGGGTTGTGTAACTCTTCACGCGATCGGCGGACCATTCATGCGTGTTCAGCCAACTGAACTTGGTTTGGCAACCAATCAGGGAGAATGAATCGGAGAAATGGGCGAAAAGCGAGCTAAAAAGTAAAATAGTGAAGCCCCGCAAATGCAAAAAGGCCCAGACAAAAACGCTGTGAACTGTAAATCGAGTGGCCAGCAAGGTTAATTGAATGTGGCAGGTAAATTTGCAAAGGTTGCAGTGCAAACAGTTTGGTCAAATTGCAGAGCCCACGGCAGCTAAACAATTGTTGCTGCACATAAATAATTAAGTGCCCTACTTAAGTTGCTTGGAAGGGAAAAGAAACCACTACGTTGCTCTTAATTACAATTACAGTTTGCTTGCAGCAGTTGCCATTTTATTTTCGCCTTATTTTTAAAACTTTCCGAGCTATAAATTAAAATAAATAAGTCGAAGTCTTATTGGATTTGCTCTGTTTAAGCATGCAATCAATTCTTAATAACTAAATATAATATATAACTTAATAATTAATACATGAAGGCTAAATTACAATTACCTTTTGATAGCAGCATTTGAAATTTTATTTTCGCTATATTTCTAAGACTTTTTTACTATTTATAAAATGTATCTTAACAATTAATAACTTAATATTAAATATAATATCAATAACAAACTAAAACACTGTATACAATTGTATAAAGGATAGACATTGTACATCTATTCTATTGGTGAATACAAATGAGAAATTTAAATTAATTTATTACTTTTTGAATAGCTTATAAATTACTCATTAGAGAGAAAACTATCTAAATTCTAAACAAATTTTCGCTGCCTATTTGGACACCAACGATTCTTTAGAATTCAGAACCCCGAAAAAAACCTGTATCAACAACTTTCAATCAGCCTTCGCTCAGCTGATTTCTTCCGAAAATTCTTCTCCTCCGACGATAATTCTTCAGAAACCTTAAACTCCATGAATCATGCATTTGCTGACTTACTAACCCGTTCTCGGATCGCCATTCTTTGGTCAAGTCAATAAAATGGTTTTTGGTGACCCACATTGCACCACCACCACCCATTGTGGTGTGAATTTTTGGGGCAGCAGAGGTTACCAGTTTCTTTTTTTGGCAAAAACCCGTTCCAGGGCCAGTTAAATATTTTATTTCCCCCATATGGACTACCACAATAAGTCAGCTGTCAGCGTTGGAACAGGAAATCGAAAGAATTTCAAATTTGTCGTGTGACTATATAGCAACTGGCAATTTCGAATGGCACTGGCAATAATTTTCCTAGACTTATATGCTGCACAATTTGTATGCCTCGGTCATTTCCTCTCTCGCTCAAAAAGGAACATTATTTAACGGCCAGCGTATGGAGTACAGTAAGTTAATTTCAGCACAGGTTTTTCTTTGTTTTTCCCCATCTATATACATTTTTTTTGTTGCTGTATAATGTGTTTTCGTATTTCGCCCGTTGCCCGTTGTGCATAATAAAAAGCCGCGCTTGCCCGGGGAATTATAAAGCAAAAGCGCAGAGACGTAAGAACAACAAGAAAATCATATATGTACACACATACTGACACTTATTCGAGACTTTGTAAGTTATATGCTGAAAGCAAAATATACCAAGAAACTGAAGTTCAATTTGAAAACACACGAAGATTTGCATACCCTATTGAAGTTTATAATTATTGAATTTTTGTCAAACTTTTATAAATGTTACTAACTGATTTAATTCTATTCAAATACTATAAAGGCTTACGATCTTAAGAAAATCTGTTTAAAAGTGAACAATTATATTTATTTGTAATTCTACAAGTCCATCGCAAGCTTATATTTCTGTACTAAAGAATTTAAATACATTTCAGTCTTAACTTTTTTAAATTATCATATTTTTTAATTATATTTGTAAATAAACAGAGGTCTAGAAAACACATTATTTTATTTTATATCTGACAAAATAGGAGAAAAATAAGCAATAAATGTAATGCCAAGTCAGCGAGATCATATTTAGAACACAGTTCATATTATACCACATTTTTGTATGCATCATTGCAAACAACTGTCTTGAATTACCACAGTATTCCAGGGTATAAAACATAGTGTTGAATGTGCTGGGGGGGAGGGGGAATGAAGTTGAGGATGGGAATTGGAGGGCAGGCGGGGTAAGCAACCTGAGCTGAGCAATCAGGCCGAACCACTCAGCAGACCGAGCGGGCCAAGAAAAGTGCGAGTTTGCAAAAAAAAAATACTTTGTTTTTCAGTTTATGCAGCGGCACAAAATCAACAATTTTTTTTAGGAACAGCATGCCCGTGCATATATAGAATCCGCTTAGCTATATATATTTACACGTATATAGTGTTTCTGTGCAGTCAGAAATCAAACCACTAAATTGATTATGTCTGCCAGTGCGACGGCCCAACATTTCTGCCTTTCCTGCTGCGACTGCAATTTAATTTTGAACTGCAGTTAATTAAGTGAAATCGCCTCTAAATGCATTAGCTGTACTGAGAGTCCGAACCTTAATTCATTTTCAACTGGAGTGTTCTAATTGCACTTGCCCTCACGGCCTAGAAATCATTGGTCAGAGTTCAACTAAGTGCCAGTTGACAGTTTTAAGTCAAGGAACCTTTAAATTAGAGCCACTATGGGGGAGATCGGAGTGTAAAGATAAGAAAGTTATGTATGTTTGATAGATGGACTGAAGGGAAGGAACTAATGGAGCTACAAGTGTGGGAAGTCAGGGAAAATTATGGGGTCAAAAGTAAATTAGTATGATGATACAAGTGTTGAGCGATTAAAAAATATATTTAAGGAAGTGAAAAGATCTAATCAAACTCACAAATTAACACCAATTTAGGAAAATGTGAAGCGTAACGAAATAGAAAATAATTATCGTAGAAATGTCTTAAAGAAAACAGTAAAAAAAAAGAGTAATTGATAAACAAATATGAGAGTTTATACATCATGTCAAAATTATGTAATTAAAGCAAAAAAAATTGATTTAAAAATAAAAATTCAGTAAAGTGTTCTCCATTTTCCAAAGATTGATATCAATGTCAATCATAAAACCCCTTTTCATATCTACCTAGATACGAACTATCAATCCGATAACAAGACGTACTTGACGATACAACTCAAAGCCTCATCAGGCCAACAACTTTCCCACTTGGCCACACTTCCACTTTTCAGTGACAGTGACTGAGAGTCGAGGCTCCCCAACTAAATGAAATGATAAATGACAGCAACTCAAACACAGACTAGAACACCAAAACCAGACGCTTCCAATTGCGTGGAATGTGCATCGGCACACAGAAAAAAAATATAGAATTTTGATTTTATACAAACCATTTCATGCAGTCAACTAAAATTGATTAAATCAAAAATATTGTATCCAATCAATGTTTTGCTTTAACTGTTTGTTCAGATTTCGTTTTTGCATGTGATATGAATTCTATTTATTTGTAATCTTTAATATAATAAGTTAAAGTTGGTTATGGAACATGTTGCAAAGACAATTTTTTACTCCGCTTTTTTAAAGAATATAATAAAACGTTCAAATTATAGTTATAAAATTCAATTCCTTATAAAACAAACTTATATTTCTCTCTCTGTAAACACATGAAAGTAACACAAACATATAAATAACCCCGGGCGAACCCCAAACGAAATTCTACACACACAATTAAGTGGAAGTTTTTACCACGCTTTCGCTTATCAACGAGCCGAGATCGCTCTATGCTCGGTTAAATCGATCAAAATGCTGTCCCAACTCCCTGAAAACAATCCCCCACTCCGGTTGCATTACATCTTCAATGGAATTCCTTTGTTCGAGCTCGGTGTTGTCCCCAATTCGAAAGACTGCATCCCGAAGGTGACTCATCGGTTAACAGGGGCATCAAGTGGAGCAAACAGATTTTTACGATCTTGCAAGGCTTCATTAGAGAATCGGTCGGTTATCTGATATAGCTACAGCATTAAATATCACTTGTCATTAGATACTGCAATAAACTCCCATACAAAAAAGGTGATTCAAGCCACTCACAACTGATTTTTTCTATCGTTTCCGCATTACAGTCTGCAAGGAGTGGCTCGTGCGTGAGGATGGCGCTCTGGCCTATAAACTTCAGTCCCAAGAGAGTAAGTACCAAAGGGGCAACTAACGCATAACCATTTACGCTAATGCATAAAATCATTTCGCCCAGTTAACGACTTCTACAAGGGAAATCGGTACAGAAACGCGGTGGTTCGCGAGGATTTCCCAACGGCCCTGCACGAACAGATCAAGGAGAAGGAGCAGGCCCAGCGAAGGGTGGATGCCTACAGAAGGCGCCTAACTGAACAGTAAATAAATGCTTAAATAATATAAATAACCTTAATCTAAGAATTACCAGTAACAAAACACTTTTAAGTGTGAATGGAAAAAGCGAAGCATTTATGTTGTCAATAGTCTTTTAATTTAGTTATTCGCAGAAAGAACATTTGCTTTTTTTTTTGGGTGCTAACACTTCATTTTTGATTAAAGGTTAGTCATTGAAAACTCATTAAGAGACTGTAACTCCTAATTACTTAGTTTTTATTCAACAATTGTTAAAAGAAGAACAATTAAGGTGTTTTTCTATCAGAGAATCACTTTTGAAAGTCATGGCTCTTTTCTTAGTTTTCAATAGAACTAATCACAATATCTCAACAGGGAGGAGCATGACAAGCGTGTGGCCAAAGAAATTGCTGACAAACTGGAGCGTGATCTGCAGGAGCAACAGCAAAAGGAGCTGCAACAAAGCGAGTTAATAGCCAAGCAAATGCAGGTGGGTAGCTTGGATTTCTTGGTAAACCCATATCCTTTGAGTGATTAACATAACGATTGCAGGAAATCTATGTTAATCTGCCGCCTGTGCCGCCGCCAGCAACACGCGACAAGAGCCGTCCACCACCACGTCCCGCCAAAGCAAGTATACACCTGCAACAACAGCAGCAACATCAGACACAGCAGCAACATCAGACACAGCAGCAACATCAGTCAGAGCCGAGCACCTCACAGCAGGCTAGATATCACAGTCAGCAGCAGCAGCAGCAGCAACCATTGCTGCTACAGCAGCAACACTTCTCACAAACAGACAACTATGTAGGATTATCGCTTATACCAAATATTGTAGATTTGCCAGCAGCGGCACCAGCAGCAACATGCACCACTCCCAGTAGAAATGCACAGGCACACAATCAGCTGTTGGTGAGTGATGTCTTATCATCGCCACAGCAGCAACAACATCACTCACGTTTTCATCATGCACAGCCGAAGCAGCAGCAACAGCAGCAGCAACAACATAAATCATCATCGCCGGCACGTCGTCCACCAACAATAACTAACATGCCCAGCACTTCATCCATAACTCTGCACCCACCCACACAATCCGCACAACAACAGGCAGCTGACATCGATGAGCTGGTGGACTATGCCGATGTTGCTGACAGCATACGCGACTACAACATCGCTGCCACGAGCACGGCAGCAACATCGGCCAGCGTTGTCGATGCAGCTGCAACATCACTCCAGCAGCAACGCTCCCCGTCACACGAAAATCTCCTAAGAACCGAACCGAAATTTCAGAAACTGTCACCCGAGAAATACGATCAACTGGTGGGCAATTTCGGTTTGGGACCCACTTCGGGATCGGGATCGGGATCGGCCAAAGCAGCTGAGAGACACATGCAGCAACATGCCGATGACATCGAGCTCTATGTGGATCCCTGCGATTATGCCAGTCTGCGGGAGATCGGGCTGCCGATGGAAGAGATCCAGGAGATGAGCAAAAAGCTCAAGCAGGAGCAGAAGGATGAGGTGACCAGACTTACTTTAAACATATCTAAAACTTCCTTTAACCCCTTGGTACTCCATTTCAGTTGCTGGCTCGTCGTCTGCAGGCCATTGAGTCCAAGGACTGCGTGCGACAAGAGCACCGGGATCGCCTGCTGGCCATTGAAGCCCAGGACAAGGAGCTGGCCAAAATGCTGCAGGACAGGGTAAGGCCTTCACAGAGACCGAAAACAAGGGCTGAGTATGAGACAATTTGGGAGATATGCACAAGGACAAAAAGACTTGAAGGAATATATAAAATTATCCAGTCAAATGACAAACCACATTCAACAACTATTTTAGCTAACAAGAAGTATCTTCAACTTATCCTCATAATTTCAATACCCTTTTGAGACAGGATAACTGTGAAAATTAATCAGTTTGTCAGCAACTACTACTCAGAGAAAACTAGCATAAGTTTAGGGTACAAAAACAGGCGCAAAATATTTTTAAAACTGAAAAACTAAACTTTTACTTAGTGTTACTAAAATTACTTATTTTACTTTTTAAAATGTTATTTCCTCTGGGTATCTTTATATTTCTAAAGAACAATCAAAATAATTTTATAACTAACTTATATTTCCACTATATTAAAAATTTGTTATAATGGACTGCTCACCAATTTTAGATGAACTCACGAAATTCTTTTTGCTATAGATACAACTATTTAGGAATCAGAAAGGTAAATTGAATGCAACGATGCTTTAAAGTTCGCTGGCTTCTTTTTCAACCATCCTAAAATCATTTCGAATATAGCTTGCTGATGATCATCTTTATTTTGCTATTGCCAAGTTAGTTGAGATTATGAACATAACATTTATACACCAAAATGTTCTTTTATACGAATTAAAAGAATTTTCTTTAAACATATTTATTAAAAACCACAACCTGATCTGCTTTTTTAGGAGAAGGCCAAAGCCAAGCGGGCCAAGGAGAAAGCACGTTTGCGAAAAACTCAGCAGAAGGAAGCCGCAGAAGCTGCCAATGGCAGTGGTAGTCTGCTCTGTGGCACCAATTCCCATTGTGGTCCGCTGCTGCCACTGCCACCGGATTGCCTATCCAGCACTGCCAATCATTCCCAGGCCGACATCGATGTGGAGGCCTACTCCAATCCCATAGACGTGCTCAACAGCAGTCGTGAGCAGCGGACCCACAACGGACCTTTGACCAATGGCAGCCTGACCAGAGACGGGGGCTCCTCCAATCACAGCTCCATGCAGCGACAGCAGCGGAACATGGCACCCATTAGGGCAGAAGATGATATCTACACTCTGCCCGTGGACAGTTGCAGGCCGGGACAAAGACCCGTTTCACTGCACATGGCAGCCGAGGCAGTGCAACAGCTTCAGACCCACAATTCCATGACGAGGTAATTGTGAAGTTTAAGTTTTTTGTGTTTGATTTTTTCCTTATAACATATTAAAACCAGAATTCAGTTTTAAGTATACAAACATTTTCAAACCAAAACCAAATTGAAAGAAATATACATTTCTCTCTTATATTTATTAATTTGTTAAAGATTTGGCAAAATCTTTGGGAAAAAGTACTTTTTTCATAACTATATTTTGTTGTTTTCTTTTTTTATTAAAATTAATTTTAATAAGTCTTTCGGCCTTTGTAAGTAAATAAACTATTAAAATAGATCTTACCTTATGATTGTTCATTGTATATCAATTATTATATATTCCCTATTCCCCCAGATCGGAGCATTACGGATCCGAGGCCGGTTCCCATGACAGTTCGCATCAGAGTGGCCAGGATATATCGCCGCACATGAAATACTCCAAGTCCGGCAATTTCGGTATATATGTATAAAAGCACTTGCCTTTAATTGTCTCGCTATATATATTGATGTATGTTTCCATTGCAGATCAAAGTGCCAGCCCCACGCCGCCTTACATGCCAATTCAAGGTACTCGACGATCAAATTCAAGTGAAGATCGTAAAAAGAAGTCCAAGGACAAGTGTACGCATCAGTGAACCATAATCACCCATTTAAAACACCTTTATTCATATATGTTTTGTACTCTCTTGACAATGAAATTGTTCAGATCAAAATCAAACCCTTTATCGATTTATTCAAAACTTTCTCACATTGTATCTCTAGAACTTAGAAGTAGTTTATATATAGTTTACTGTGTGGTTTCAGTGATGGTTTTAATAGAAGACATCATTGGGTTTACAATAAAGACTTTTTATAGGTAAACAGTTTTTTTTTGGGAATTTGGAATAACAAAAACTAAATAATTTGATATTCCTAAAAATAAATTAACCAATTCAAATATTTTCGCAATATATTGGTAAAAACATCAATTTGTAAAAAAAATTAAATGAAATATTGTTTAAAACGGATCATTTATTTTTACAAATAAATTATTTCAACTTAAAAAGGAAATAAAGTAGACTTTTTAAATTCTCAAAATAAGATGAAACTTGTAGCTGTATACAGGGCAATTGGTTATATTCTACTAAAGTAAAAAACAAAAAGACGTAAATAACAAATATTTTGCTATATACAAATTATTTAATCTGGTAATGCTGTGATATTATTGTTAAGATTTTGGTTTTTAATTGGATATATATATAAAAAATGACAAGTAATAAGGTTATAAAAAGCATTAACAAGTAAATTTGCTTAAAACATTGTTCGCGACCTGCTAAATACATATCCACTTTGTAGGAACTTCGACTTATGTAAATTGCCAGTCCAAAAGTTATTCCTCAAAAGCTTTTATCTTGTCCACTCATCCATAACCAGCAGAACTGCATATTTCTGTTAAAGAAACTTGAATCTTGGGATATGTAAATTTCATTAGTTCTGTGTAAACCTTTACCTTGTGGAGAATTTTTCTGTACTTCCGATTTTACTACCGTCGATCAGTTGTTATTGTTTTTGCCTGGGTTTTCTTTTTTTTACTAACATCAGCAAGTTTGCGTCCAATACCGGAGATCAAAACTTGTGAAACTGGTATTAAAAGTCACAAGTTAGGGTCTCAGGGAATCAGCCATACAAACATTTGCACATGTCACTAATGCCAATATTTACATATGCCCGGTTGCATTTACATATCCAAGGCATTCGTAAAGAAATTCAACGAAAGTCTGGCTCAGAACACTATTCTTGTTGTCCACAATCGATTTTGCTTGCACCACCAACTTTTGTATGGCTGGGAATGGATTATGTTGATGGTGCAGATCGATAGGGAGTTTAAAGCAATTGCGGCTTGTAGTCAAGCAAAGAAAGCTAGCACATTGTATAGTATGATTAGTAGTTACTACTATACAACCTACTACCTCAATTTGCCAGAGAGAAAAAGGTCCTTGGTGTAGTCCTTTTTGCTGGGTGGTGGTTTGGTTTTAAAAGGATTTTCTGGGTAGTTTTATTGGTTCGGTTTTTGGTTGAAAAGATGTTGGCAAACAGAGGATTAATAATGGGGAAAATCATGTGGAAATACTCAAATATTTTTGATATTATTAAATTAATATACATACGTTTATAAATAAAATTTTATAAATATGTTTAACAAATCAAATGATTTAAATAATATTTTGACTTTAATACTGTTATTTATAACGTTGTTATCAGATATTCTATCTTTGAATTAATAAACAATTAATTAATTGCTTTTAAGCTTGTATTCTTTAAACCGTATTTATTTTAAAATTTTAAATTTTTAATTTAATTTTTAGACTTTGAAATATCTTTGACTTTTGAATTCAATTTAACGTCATTTCTTAATTTGTTTCTCTAATAAATTAATTTGTTTAAAAATCTTCCACTTAACTATGAGTATCATTTGTTTTTTATATTATTTATATTTATGATAATTATTTCATTAATATGTTATTTTTATGTTCATTATCGCATTTTACTCGACGTGTTATGTTTTAGATTTGTCATTTGATTTTGTTGCCAAAAACCAGTTGTTTGCATTGACAGACTCCCATAATGCCGGTCTTGTAACAGATATAAAACAGCACAAGTTCGGATTTACGGGTTTCTGTTAATGGTCCATATGTAAGTATGCACCATTTCGTGTTGGATTAGAAATTGTTTAGTTGGTCCTTGAAATAGAATTCGTCCCGGATAATCAAAAATCAACCCCCTCTGGGCGCGGAAACTGGTTAATCCATTTGGTAAAGTTGTGAAATTCCAGCAGGACAATAAAAATGATTTTCGGGTTCCGCTGACTCATCTGTAATTTATATAAATTTGTTAAATATTTCTCTAAGCTTTGATCATAATAGTTACGGCTGTTGTTGGTGCTTCTTCGAGGTCAATTAGTGGGTAATTAGAAACAGTCTGCAAGAAAAGATATTTATTTTTACAAATATGTAGTTTATAAATTTGTAGACTAACTATTTTTTTAGACTTTGGCTTGGCCTGACACTTAAAAACCAATATAAATATTGACATACTTTTCTATGTATCAAATTTAGTTCTATGTAGTGAATTAATTTTTAATATGTATTTTATCCAGTAACTAGTACACAACTGCACTTTAAATTAGTTTTTGGTACTACATTTTTTCTTAATAGTTTGTGTATCCTTTTTTCCAAAGTAATAATAAAAACTTTTAATGGAAAAATGTAATAAATAATAAATTCAATGGTTATTACCACATTTGTATTTAAGTTGATGGTTATTTCCTCTTTGTGGACACTTAAGGTTTCGATAATCTGCAAGAGAAAGAGCAGAAAGCAATATGAAAAAATTTGCCAAAAACTTAACAGATTTGCTTTTATTCAGTAAATCTTACACTAAGAATTTCATAGATTTTATTGTTTATTACTTGCTTCTATTTGTGTCCACATCCACCAGCGGTAAACTGCATGGAGAGCTTTGTGCAAGAAACAATTCCACTTGACTTGGCCTAATCCCCAATAGATTTGTCTCTCTGGCCACGTAAGCCGATCGCCCAGGTCGCTGCAGTTTAATTCAATTTTGCAACAAAGGAAAGCCAGCGATGGAAAAATTGCATTACATATTCATCTTTTTGCACAGAAAAAAAAAACGAAATATAAGAAATAGTTCGACGCGAAGTAAAACATGCAAACTATATGAAGAAGGGGTATATACGATGGTTATATATCTATTATGTATGGATGGATGGATGGATGGTTGGTTGGGTGAGGAAACGTTGCTGCAGCTGAAGCTCAGAACCGAAACTGAGGCTGAACCTGAAGCTATAGCTATGCCACTATGCTCGACTGAGCGGCAGCAGAGCGGCGACTGCGGCTGTATCTATCGAGTGTTTTGGCTATATGTGTGTTGTTGTCCCGAGTTCCCTGTTCCCAGTTGCCAGTTCCCAGTTGCCAGTTGCCAGTTCCAAGTTCCATGTTGCAGCTACATATGTACTAGTGGGGGTACTGGATACTGGATACTGGGTACTGGGTACTGTTGATGCGATTCTCTAGCCGTCTTCACCCATTGGCCCTGCCACTTTTCCACATGTTTTCAATGCTTCTTTCGGTGGTAGCAGCAGACAGCCGTCTGGAGCGCAGTTCGTTGGCTGTACCTATTTTCGCGTATTTCAGCCAGGACCTGCCTCAACAAAACTCACAGCCAGCAGACAGACGCTACACACACACATACACACCAATACTAACAAGAGGGGCTGCTTTCTGGTTTCCTTCCTATTAAAAACCGGTAACAGTTCGCAGCAGAGCAGCGCTGCAAATTTTTGCAAAATGCTTTTTATTTTTGCAACTCGTTCTTGCCTCTCTTAAGCTCTCTTAACCCTCTCCGTATCGCTCTCTTTTTGTTTACCTTCGATATTACACATAACTTTAAATTTATCAAAAAATATCACCCATACGCCATGTGTTACCCGTATAAATCACTGGTCATATTTAAATTAATTTATTTGCTGTGCAACTTCATTATAAGTTTTTTATTGATGTTGAAAAAATCAGTTATACAGGATCCTTTGGTCCTGGGCTCATTAATCAAAAATACATTTTAATTTTTGTCCAGTCGGCAGGATGCAATCATCTGGAAACTGTTTGCTCCTCCTTCACTTACTGCTTGTCAAACCGAATTTTTGCCATTAATATTCATTTATCGCTGGCAGCAGAAAATTAAAATTAAACTGCGACATTGTCTATGGTAATTTTCTGTGATTGAAAAGATTCCGGTACTCAAAAGTGCACATTTTGTGTGCATTTAAATGTATTATAAAATTCACTTAATCAGATGAATTTTAGCAATTAAAACAAAATTTAAAAAACCATTTTAAAACATCTTTTAATGATATTATTAAAGATGTTTTTAAAGGAACATGTTTTTTAATATATGTAGTTTCTTTAAAGTTTATACAATTATTTAAAAGAAATTTATTGCAAGCGTATCAAACAATCGTTGTATTTAAATTATAAAATATGGCTTTAATTAGGAAATTTTTTTTAATTAAAAAAACCGGCTAAAAAGCACTAGCACCTAAACTTTTTAAACTAGTTCGAATGTGAAAACAAAATAATAATAAAAAAATGGAAAAATTATTTAATTTTAATTGAAAATAAATCTAGAGTCCCAAAAAAAAGAATATTATGTTTGAAAAAAAAATTTCCATTAATTTTTTACACTTTTAGACCTACTTTAAAAACATTTCTGCTCTCTAAAACTCCCTTTTTATTATTTGTTAAACTGCAATTTGTGCCATTTGATTTTCCTAGTAATGCCAGCGTCAAGTTTTGCAAAAAACCAAGGCCAAAGCTCCCACACACAGACGAGGCCAATGCCACTCACATACACAAATGCAATGTGAAAAACCTACACACATACAACAACAGCACTCATATGTGTGGGAGTTGCACAAAATTATGCAATACGCCAAAACTCTTTGTGCTTTGCTAACTCTTTGGCCTCTCTTTAAAGAGAGCCCTCTGGGGTTTTGTTGATTCTCACTCAATGCCAGTGTCATGGGAGCCGAATGGGGGGATGAGAGGGGTTCTTAGGGAAGAGGAGTAAAAAAGAGTGGAGCAGAGTCAACATCATCCAACCAACCAATTCAATTAGACACTGCCGCTTGGCCTTCGCCGTTCCACTCCTTTTCCCCTCTTTTTGATACCCCCTCTCCATCCCCCTTTTTCGCCCCTTTCTTGCCACAGACAACAACAAAATGTGGAGTTGCGCGATGGCAACCCTATATTGCAGATGGGAGAGTTGCAGAGTTGCAGAGTTGCAGAGTTGATTAACCTTTGGGCGTTCTGTTTTGCAACTTCATTCGCGGAGTGGAGTTGCTCCGATTTAAATGCTGCCCCAAGTGGCGTTCGTATTGGTGTGCCACGTTTGTTTGTGTGCCTTATATGTCTCCTTCTGTTGCTCTTCTTTGTGTGTGTGTGTGTGTGTGTGTGTGTGTATGTGTGTGTGTGAGTGTTGTTCGCAGCCATGTTAGCAGCCATTTTTAATGGCCATATACGACGATCCAGCAAAGCAGAGAGAATCCGGAGAACGAATCTGCAGTTCAGTTTATGCTTCATTCACTCTAAGCCGCCAAACTCCTTCTGGCCCCCAGCATAAACATTTACACAGAGGGAAATAATAGAGTGATCTCCGGAGGTAATATGCACTGTAATAAACATAGGTTTTGAAATAAACTTTGAAAGCATTATACATAGCATAAATTAACTATTATCTAATTGAATAACTTTCCTAGCATGATCCATTAAAATACAGATTTTATAATATTTACTTTAGATAATAAAAAGGTAATGTCTTAACTAAGAAAAAAACCACAAGCAAGTTTTATAAACAAAAAATGCATAAATTGATCAATAGCTAATTGATCAATCTCTTTGAGCGCAAAAAGTGTGCATCATTTTCATTTTAGCTATATTTTAATTGAATTTATTGAATTAATTAATTAATTAATTTTGCTAAGATAATATTTGAAGCTAAAGTCAAACAAAAAACCCAGTTTTTTCTGGAGCATCCGTATCCGCAGCGTCTCCTTTATTCTGTCATGAAACTTCCTACTTTTCCTGGCTTTCTACTTCCTTCTCATCCGTGTTGGTAATTCTAATTGAAATTTGGCGTTGAAGCGAGTAAATGCTCGCTCTCTATGCAAACGCCCCCTCTCGCTTCCACGCGGTGCTGCCATCTCCCTCGCACCCTGCCTGCACTTTTATTACAGTTGCCGCTTTTTGGCCAAAAGTTGTTTTGGCCTTTCGCTACGCTCTTCCTGTTTGTTGGTGTGGGTCATGGCTGCCGCGTCATGCTACGGTTCCTCTCAACTTTGCTTTGTTT